TGTATATATATATTAATAAGATATTCCCCCTCGACTGGCAGTGTACATTACTTCAACTCTGCAACATTCATAGTCTGGAGAAAGATTGCAATGTTTGGGAGAATGGTTACCGAGAATCTTGATCTTTCTGCTCGGACGCAGCATTTCTCTAGTCCCTGGCTGGCTCCAATAGGCAGGGGTTGAGTCCGACTCGTAAATGATCCAAAAATGATCCAATTATGGACGTTGGGGACGTAAAAACACCCACAGTTAAACATTGTTTTTAATGCCTATGGCCCTGGTTCGAAGGCCTGGTCCTGTGCGAATTCCTAAACATGAGGTTGTTTGTGCTGTTTCTAAAGATTTTCTCCAACTACGGTCTGTCTCTTTGGAGAGTAAAGTAAAATTAGGACGTACACCAGGCCGCTTGTTTTGTCATACAGAAACACTGGACCTAAAAAAAATTGAATAACTAATTAATTTACAGAGTTTAAATGGAAGAATTATTCCCATAACTTTTGCCATCTTTTTTAATTTCCTTTTAAAACATTTTTTTTTCTTTCTTTCTTACTTTTTTTCTTTTCTTTTATTTGTTTCTTGGTGTTTTTATAGGGTCTGTTGAGGGTAATTCTGGTTGTAAGGCTCATGGAGCAGGCTGTAGACCGCGGATATGCGCTATATTAATGCTATAATATGTGAGGCAGCGTGGTGGAATCAGGCTGGGGTTAATTTTTGGGCATGTAGAGTTATTGGTATCATCTTAAAGCTTGTTCACTTGTCTTTATTTGGATGCAAAAAATATCCCTTTATCTTAAATACAACTCGAGATAAGAAGAAAGACTTCGCAAAAGAAGGAGGGGGAGGTCACCTGTTTTCAGAGGTAAAATTGGTGAGAAAATGGCCGCCAAAGATTAGATATTTCCTTAGCTTAAGAGTCCGTGGTAACTGAAGATTTACATTTTTATGCCTTTAATCAACGCTTTTCATAAAAATCCACTCAGAAATGAGTTCTTTAATGAGCATGAAAGGTGTTGTGCCAAAAAAGAAAAATTTTATAAAATTCACAAACCTGCGAAAAATGCAAGTTTCTTCACTTTGATTATTTTGACGAGAGCCTGATTCCACCAGGCTGCCTCACATTTAATTTCTTATATTACTGTGCCATAAACAGTGGTATGGCATTAACGCTCCTACCACCACTGTTAGGTTTTTTAAGGGACTGGACCTCCGAGTTTAACGTCCATCTCCGAAAGGACGAAAATATTGTCACATGATTTTTTAAAATTTTATTTAATTTTTTTGGTAAGCGTGTTACGGCTCTCGCTACTGCATAAGGTCATTTGCGGGACACATTAAAGATGTTTCGTTTGGTAGGACATTTTGAATTTTGCCCGGGTGGCGGCCGTAACCTTCTCTTATCGATTTTAGACCACCAAGGGATCTTTAACGAGCGCAACTTGCACACGGGACCTCCGAGGTTTTTCGACCTAGACCGAGAAGGCTAGGTGTAGATCCTTCCTACCAGAAGATCAGATTTTTTAAACTAAAAGACAGCAGTAAGAAGGAGTTGAGGAGTAGCAGTAAAAAGGCTGCAGAAAGAGTCAGGGGCCCTGAGGAGGGGACAAAGGAGGAGAGAGGGTGGGGGTTGAAAGTGGAGACGAAAGCAGACGACAGAACATTGCTGAGAGCAGAAAGGGACGTGAAAGGAGACAATTTTAGAGAAGAAAAGTTTTCAGTCGCGAATTCGAATGTGGTACCTTTGAATGAGAGGGGAACACCTTAACCTCTAGACCACTCTTGTGCCATGAATACAGTGCTATGAATGGCCCGGTTTCCAGCCCTTTACCCACCTGGTCTGACGGCCTACAGGTGCGGCTGCGTAGTCACAGCACGGGCCCAGGAACACGTGAGACTTGTTGCGCACGTAGAAATTGATGGCCTCGTTCATGGCGTCCGCAGAGGAGCAGTTCGAATCCCGGTAGTTGATCTCTATCTCCCGACCAGGCAGAGGCCCGTCCGGAGCTCGCACCTGGATGGTGAGGGGGTGGGGTGGG